CCGTGCCGTATACCGGCTCCACCTACATGAGACTCTGTGTACTGGAGAGCGGATATAGTGAATGCGGGATCCGGGGAGTCTGAATATAGTGAATGCGGGGTCCAGGGAGAGCGGATATAGTGAATGTGGGGCCCGAGAAGAGTGGGATATAGTGAATGCAGGGTCCGGGGAGAGCGGATATAGTGAATGCGGGGTCCTGGGAGAGCGGATATAGTGAATGCGGGGTCCGGGAGAGAGCGGATATAGTGAATGCGGAGTCCGGGGAGAGCGGATATAGTGAATGCAGGGTCCGGGGAGAGCGGATATAGTGAATGCGGAGTCCGGGGAGAGAGCGGATATAGTGAATGCGGGGTCCGGGGAGAGCGGATATAGTGAATGCAGGGTCCTGGGAGAGCGGATATAGTGAATGCGGGGTCCGGGGAGAGCGGGATATAGTGAATGCGGGGTCCAGGGAGAGCGGATATAGTGAATGCGGGGTCCTGGGAAAGTGGATATAGTGAATGCGGGGTCCGGGGAGAGAGGATATAGTGAATGCGGGGTCCGGGGAGAGCAGATATAGTGAATGCAGGGTCCGGGAAGAGTGGATATAGTCAATGTGGGGTCCAGGGAGAGCGGATATAGTGAATCCGGGGTCCTGGGAGAGCAGATATAGTGAATGTAGGGTCCGGGAAGAGTGGATATAGTCAATGCGGGGTCCGAGGAGAGCGGATATAGTGAATGCGGCGTCCAGGGAGACTGGATATAGTGAATGCGGGGTCCGAGGAGAGCGGATATAGTGAATGCGGGGTCCTGGGAGGGCGGATATAGTGACTGCGGGGTCCAGGTAGAGCAAATATAGTGAATGCGGGGTCCGGGGAGAGCGGATATAGTGAATGCGGGGTCCGAGGAGAGTGGATATAGTGAATGCGGGGTCCGGGGAGACTGGATATAGTGAATGTGGGGTCCGGGGAGACTGGATATAGTGAATGCGGGGTCCGGGGAGAGCGGATATAGTGAATGCGGGGTCCGGGGAGACTGGATATAGTGAATGCGGGGTCCGGGGAGAGCGGATATATTGAATGCGGGGTCCGGGGAGAGCAGATATAGTGAATGCGGGGTCTGGGGAGAGTGGATATAGTGAATGCGGGGTCCGGGGAGAGTGGATATATTGAATGCGGGGTCCGGGGAGAGCGGATACAGTGAATGCGGGGTCCGGGGAGAGCGGATATATTGAATGCGGGGTCCGGGGAGAGCGGATATATTGAATGCGGGGTCCGGGGTTTAGTAACACTTTAATGTCCGCATCCGTTAACATCCTATTTTTTTGAACAAAAGAAACCCTATATTTCTTCTGTAGAAAAGAAAACAAAAAACAGAATGGACTGAATACGAATGTAAACAGATATGCAGTGAAGGAAATAAGTATTTGATTCCCATCACAAAACATGACTTAGTACTTGGTGGCCAATCCCTTGTTAGCAATCACAGAGGTCAGACGTTTCCTGGAGTTGGCCCCCAGGTTCGCACACATCTCAGGAGGGATTTTGGCCCACTCCTCTTGGCAGATCCTCTCCAAGTCATTAAAGTTTTGTGGCTGACGTTTGGCAACTCGAACTTTCAGCTCCCTCCACAGATTTTCAATCGGATTAAGGTCTGGAGACTGGCTAGGCCACTCCAGGACCAGGGGCGGACTGACCATTTGGAAACTCGGGCACTGCCGAGGGCCCGGGGTCAGTAGGGGGCCCCATGAGATGCCCCTGGTACCTTTTTCATAGGCTTTTTTGAGTTTGGGCAAGGACACAAGGGCCCCATGATCCCCTATTGCCCGGGGGCCCCATGAGTTGTCAGTCCGCCCCTGTCCAGGACCTTAATGTGCTTCGTCTTGAGCCACTCCTTTGTTGCTTGGCCGTGTGTTTTGGGTCATTGTCATGCTGGAACACCCATCCACGACCCATTTTCAATGCCCTGGCTGAGGGAAGAAGGTTCTCACCCAGGTTTTGATGGTACATTGCCCCGTTCATCATTCCTTTGATGCGGTGCAGTTGTCCTGTCCCCTTAGCAGAAAAACACCCCCAAAGCAGAATGTTTCCACCACCATGTTTGACAGTTGGGATGGTGTTCTTGGGGTCATAGGCAGCATTCCTCCTCCTCCAAACACGGAGAGCTGAGTTGATGCCAAAGAGCTGGATTTTGGTCTCATCTGACCACAACACTTCCCACCAGTCCTCCTCTGCATCATTCAGATGTTCAGTGGCAGACTTCAGACAGGCCTGGACATGTGCTTTCTTGAGCAGAGGGACCTTGTGGGCACTGCAGGATTTCAGTCCTTGTCGGCGTAGTGTGTTACCAATTGTTTTCTTGGTGACTGTGGTCCCAGCTGCCTGGAGATCATTGACAAGATCCTCACGTGTAGTTCTGGGATGATTCCTCACTGTTCTCATGATCATTGACACTCCACAAGGTGAGATCTTGCATGGTGCACCAGACCTAGGGAGACTGACACTTGTTTTGTGTTTCTTCCATTTGTGAATGATTGCACGAACTGTTGTCACCTTCTCACCAAGCTGCTTGGCCATAGTTTGGTAGCCCAGTCCAGCCTTGTGTAGGTCCACAATCTTGTCCCTGACATCCTTGGACAGCTCTTTGGTCTTTGCCATGGTGGAGAGTTTGGAATCTGATGGTTTGATGGCTCCTGTGGACAGGTGTCTTTTATACAGGTAACACAATGAGATTAGCAGCACTCCCTTTAAGAGACTGCTTCTACTCTCAGCTTGTTACCTGTATGAAAGACACCTGGGAGCCAGAAATCCTGCTGAATGATAGGGGATCAAATCCTTCTTTCCCTCATGAACATGCAGATCCGTCATCATTTGTTAGACGCATTTCTGCTGAATTTGTTGTTGTATTCTGTCTCTCAGTGTTACACCGAACATTCCATTGTTAGACCGATCATTTCTGTGTGAGGGGCGAACATTCCATTGTTAGACCGATCATTTCTGTGTGAGGGGTGAACATTCCATTGTTAGACCGATCATTTCTGTGTGAGGGGCGAACATTCAGCATCAGCAGGGGAGCAAATACACATTTCCTTCATTGTAAGGTTCATTTTTGCATCTGTAAAGAATGTAAAAACTGACAAGAAAATGACAAGAAACGGATCCATTTTTCTTTTAAAAACCCTGTGTGAAAGGACCCTCAGGAGGAGTTCGAAGCCTTTCAACACCTCCCATTCAAGTCTATCATAATGCTCCTCAAACACGGGGGCATTTGTGGTGAGGTTGCAGAGTGTTAACCCCTCCAAGTGGATTCCCCCCCTTCCTGACCAGGCCATTTTTTCTGTTACGGCGCTACATTACTTTAACTGACAATTGCGCGGTCATGCAACGCTGGACCCAAAGGAAATCCTTTGTCTCCCACAAGTAGATCTTTCTTTTGGTGGGATTTGATCACTTGTGCGGTTTTTATTTTTTGTGCTATAAAAAAATTCCGACAATTTAAAATATATATATATATTTTTGACTCTTTGCTATTAAACATGTCCAGTAAAAAAATGTAACATATCAAATTTCATCATAAATTTAGGCCAAAATGTATTCTGCTCTGTGTCTTTGCTAAAAAAAATCCCAATACGTGTAAATTAATGGGTTTACGTGAAAGTTATTGTTTCCAAACAGTGATATATATACTGGGATTTTATTATTTTTACAAATAATGGTGGCGATCAGCGACTTATAGCGGGACTGTGGGACTGTGGCGGGCATTCTGACACGGGGGGAATTGACTTGGTGTCACTGACATCCGCAGTGACACCAATACAGTGGTCAGTGCTAATAAAAACCACTGATACTGTACTAATGGCACTGGGCAGGAGGGGTTAACATGAGGGGTGATCAAAGGGTTAACTGTGTCCTGCATTCTTCCTCGGTGTCAGAGACTTTCACTTTCATTTCTCATCCTGTTGTCAGCAATGGCGTCTGCTAATCTGAGAGCCGAGCTGGAATGCTCCGTCTGTCTGAACATTTATACAGATCCTGTAATGCTGAGATGTGGTCACAACTTCTGCCGGGTCTGTATTGATCATGTGCTGGATACACAGGAGGGGTCTGGAGGGTATTCCTGTCCTGAATGCAGAGAGGAGTTTCTGGGTCGGCCTGCACTGCACAGGAACATAACACTGCGTAACATAGTGGAGAATTTCCTGTCTGCTCAGCCTGATCAGAAGTCCGTGGTCTTCTGTACTCACTGTGTGGTCTATCCTGTACCTGCTGTTAGATCCTGTCTGCTCTGTGAGGTTTCTCTGTGTGATAAACACCTGAGAGTCCACAAAAAGTCCCCAGAACACATCTTATGTGACCCCACCTTGTCCATGGAGAGCAGGAACTGCTCCATCCATAAGAAGATCCTGGAGTATTACTGCACTGAGGATGAGACCTGTATCTGTGTGTCTTGTTGTATGATTGGAGGACATAAAGGACATGAGATGGAGTCACTGGATGAGGCTTCTGAGAAGAAGAAGGAGACACTGAGGAACATTCTGCAGAAACTTCTGACAAAGAGAGAGGAGATGGAGGAAAGAGTCCAGAGTCTGCAGGAACACAGGAGGAAAGTAGAAGAAGAAGCAGCTGGTGACACCAAGAGATTCACTGCCCTGTTTATAGATCTCAGGAGACGTCTGGAAGACCTGGAGATTAGAGTCCTGAGGGACATCTCCGGGAGGGCAGAGCGGGTCTCCATCTTCATCCGGGATCTGGAAATAAAGAAGGAGGAGCTGTCCAGGAAGATGCGTGACATTGAGGAGCTGTGTAACATGACGGATCCACTGACTGTCCTACAGGAATCAGACACAGGTGACTTGTGTGATACTGAGGATGGAGATGATGAGGACAGAGAGAGACATGAGGAATTCCTCCATGATGGAGGGGGGCTGGATGTGGCGGGGGTCTTATACACAGAATTATCTGATATAATAACAGAGGTAAATGTATACTTCTATATACAGAGAGCTGAGGACATATTACTGGATGGAAACACAGTTCATAATTATCTACAGATATCAGATGACAGGAAAACTGTATTCTGGTCAGATAGATACCAGAATCGTCCAGAAACACCAGAGAGATTTCAGGTTTGGCCTCAGGTGTTGAGCAGTCGGAGTTTCTCCTCAGGGAGACATTACTGGGAAGTGGATGTCGGGGGGTCAGATATATGGGGAGTCGGGATGTGTTACCCCAGTATAGACAGGACAGGAGGGCAGTCAGGGATTGGATATAATAACAAGTCCTGGGGTTTGTACTGGAATGGTAGTCAGTATTGGGTGATACATGACAGTAATAAGATCCCCTTACCCTCCAATCCCCCTAGTCCCAGAGTCAGGATATATCTGGACTATGAGGCTGGGTAGATCTCCTTTTATGATCTGTGTGACCCGATCCAACACCTCCACACCTTCACCACCACCTTCACTAAGCCCCTCCATGCCGGGTTACGTGTATGGAGAGGTTGTATGAAGATCTGTGGGGGGAGAGGGGGAAAATACATTTTTGGGGACACTTAAAGTAGTATTAAACCCAAGAGCAAACATTTATCATATTGCAGCTCACAAATTCTTAGATGTGATGGCTGCATTCATTTTCTTTTTCAGTCTTCTTTCTTGTATTTTCATCTGGTGATCTGGCCAGTAAGTCTGTTGTTTTTCAAGAATAAGCTCTCTTCCAGATGTATCAGTTTACAGGGGTGAAACAAACCATTTACCACCTTGTTCCTGTGCTCAAAGTGGAACTTTACTCTTTCAATCAGAATGAACTTTGATGAATCCTTATGCTGTTGGCCTTAATAAATAGATAGGAAGATACAGTGAAGGAAATGTGTATTTGCTCCCCTGCTGATGTTGAATGTTCGCCCCTCACAAAGAAATGATCGGTCTAAAAATCAAATGTTCAGTGTATTGTAACACTGAGAGACAGAATAGCAACAACAAATTCAAAAGAAATGCATGTCTAACAAATGATGACTGATCTGCATGTTCATGAGGGAAAGAAGGATTTGATCCCCTTCACAAAACATGACTTAGTACTTGGTGGCCAATCCCTTGTTAGCAATCACAGAGGTCATCATTTTCCTGTAGTTGGCCCCCAGGTTTGCACACATCTCAGGAGGGATTTTGGCCCACTCCTCTTGGCAGATCCTCTCCAAGTCATTAAGGTTTGGTGGCTGACATTTGGCAACTCGAACTTTCAGCTCCTCCACAGATTTTCAATCGGAATAAGGTCTGGAGACTGGCTAGGCCACTCCAGGACCTTAATGTGCTTCTTTCTGGGCCACTCCTTTGTTGCCTTGGCCGTGTGTTTTGGGTCATTGTCATGCTGGAACACCCATCCACCACCCATTCTCAATGCCCTGGCTGAGGGAAGAAGGTTCTCACCCAAGATTTGAGGGTACATTGCCCCGTCCATCGTCCCTTTGATGCGGTGCAGTTGTCCTGTCCCCTTAGCAGAAAAACACCCCCAAAGCAGAATGTTTCCACCACCATGTTTGACAGTTGGGATGGTGTTCTTGGGGTCATAGGCAGCATTCCTCCTCCTCCAAACACGGCGAGTTGAGTTGATGCCAAAGAGCTGGACTTTGGTCTCATCTGACCACAACACTTCCCACCAGTCCTCCTCTGCATCATTCAGATGTTCAGTGGCAGACTTCAGACGGGCCTGGACATGTGCTTTTTTGAGCAGAGGGACCTTGCGGGCACTGCAGGATTTCAGTCCTTGTTGGCGTAGTGTGTTACCAATTGTTTTCTTGGTGACTGTGGTCCCAGTTGCCTGGAGATCATTGACAAGATCTTCACGTGTAGTTCTGGGATGATTCCTCACTGTTCTCATGATCATTGACACTCCACGAGGTGAGATCTTGCATGGTGCACCAGACCTAGGGAGACTGACACTTGTTTTGTGTTTCTTCCATTTGTGAATGATTGCACGAACTGTTGTCACCTTCTCACCAAGCTGCTTGGCCATAGTTTGGTAGCCCAGTCCAGCCTTGTGTAGGTCTACCATCTTGTCCCTGACATCCTTGGACAGCTCTTTGGTCTTTGCCATGGTGGAGAGTTTGGAATCTGATGGTTTGATTGCTCCTGTGGACAGGTGTCTTTTATACAGGTAACACAATGAGATTAGCAGCACTCCCTTTAAGAGACTGGTTCTAATCTCAGCTTGTTACCTGTATGAAAGACACCTGGGAGCCAGAAATCCTGCTGAATGATAGGGGATCAAATCCTTATTTCCCTCATGAACATGCAGATCCGTCATCATTTGTTAGACGCATTTCTGCTGAATTTGTTGTTGTATTCTGTCTCTCAGTGTTACAATACACCGAACATTCCATTGTTAGACCGATCATTTCTTTGTGAGGGGGCGAACATTCACCATCAGCCGGGGAGCAAATACGCATTTCCTTCATTGTATATTATATTTACTCATTTTAAACTTTTTCATTTCCTCTGGGGGTTCCTGATTCCTGGCCTAGCCCAAAGTGATGGCATACAGTCCAGGAGTCTTCAAGGGCAAGTTTTTCCATTAATATGGAGGAGGGGCCTTTTGCAGCTAAGCACGCCCTCCTGCCTTCGCCGACTTGGAACAGTGTACCGGCCTCTTGTGTCCATTGTACGGATTTTCTCAGGTTTCAACTCAGTAAGGGCAGATGAATTCCAGGTGCTACATGAACCATCTGCTCTTACTCAAGATGGCCACTGCTAGAAATGCTAGCTGAGTGTTTTTCATAGTGATTTCTTGGGGATGCTTTGAAATAAAAAAAAAGAGTGTTTTTGGTTTGTGGTGCCCAGATACAGCTAAGTTCTGCTTTAGGCTCCTTCAGGAGCAAAACGCATTGGGTGAGATGTTTGTGCAAAATGACTTTGTATCAATAAAGCTAAGTATGAGGTGGAAATTTGGAGTGCGGCTTCTGCTTCCTTAGAATTTGTGGATATTCAGCTGGGATGAGCCCAAAGGTCCCCCCACCACTCTCCTACCTCCATCATTTAAAGGAAAGTACAATGGTCAAAGACAAGTTACATTCAGTGAAGTAGAACCCCTCTACACCATTAACTATGGCAACTTCCACATCTTGTTCCAAAAGAGGCTGAATTGGGGATCCATACTCCGCTCTGCAAATGGCTGTAAATGCCGCTTCCTACAGCGGAGACAGGATATTGATTCGACAGAAGGTGAGGAATGGACTCAGGCGCTAAAGACATTCATTCCTAAAGGCAGCTGCCACCATCCTCAACGGCTAGATAACATCCCGAAAGGACAGTTCTTACGCCTTCGCAGGAACTGCGATAAAATCGATGATTTCATGACACAATCAGAAACTCTCATGAAACAATTTTTAGAAAAAGGCTATAATGCAACTATTCTGGAGAAAGAAAGGATGGAAGTCAGCAACCTTAATAGGGAAGACCTTCTTGCTCCAAAAAATAGGAACAAAGGAGATAGAGTTTGCCCATTTATCACCAACTTTTCAGTGCAATATAAACAGGTAGCAAGAATTATTAGAAAGAATTGGTCGATACTAAAAAACGACCCGATTTTGGGCACCATCCTACCTGACAGACCGGAGATAACATACCGGAAGGCCCTCCCTTTGAGGAACATTCTAGCCCCAAACATTGTTAACCCTCCCAAGCAGCTCTCTTTATGTTTTAATCACAAAGGATTTTATCCATGCCATAGATGCATGCTATGTGTCAATAATGGTATTCACAAAAAAACAATTAAAAGTTTTCGGTCTAACAGTACCGGTAAGGTGTATGACATCCAAACGATTATCACATGCAATAGCACACATGTGGTATACCTCCTGGAGTGTCCATGTGGAAAACAATATGTGGGGAGAACCACTAGGACAGTGATGGCGAACCTTTTTGAGCCCGAGTGCCCAAAACTGCAACACAAAACCAACTTTTTTATATCAAAGTGCCAACACTGCAATTAACCACTTGCCTACTGGGCACCTCTACCCCCTTCCTGCCCAGACCAATTTTCAGCTTTCAGTGCTGTTGCACTTGACAATGACAATTGTGCGGTCATGCAACACTCATTTTTTCCCACAAATAGAGCTTTTTTTTGGTGGTATTTAATCACCACTGGGTGTTTTAAATTTTGCAATATAAATGAAAAAAGAGCAAAAAATTAAAAACATAAAAGGTTTTCTTTTGCTTCTATTATAAAATTTTGCAAACAGGTAATATTTCTTCTTTGATGTGCGTTGGTGAGGCTGCACTGATAGGCAGCACTGATGGGCATTGATGAGGAGGCACAGATAGGTAGCACTGATGAGGCGGCACTGGTGGGCATTGATGAGGAGGCACTGATGATGCACTGATATGCAGCAATGTTGGGCACTGATAAGCGGCACTGACTGATAGCACCAACTGGAGGCACTGACAGACGGCACTGACCGTCGGCACTGCTGGGCATCATTGACAGGTGGCTCTGCTGGGCAGCACTGACAGGAAACACTGCTGGGCACTGATGGGTGACACTTCTGGGCACTGATGGATGACACTGCCGGGCACTGCTGGGCGGCATTGCTGGGCACTGCTGAACGGCACTGATAATCAGTGCCCTGATTATTAGTGCAGATCTCCCCTGTCACATTTGCAGTACTTTCTTCAATCTGTGACAGCGTGCAGCCGATAACCAGCAACTGTATTTACATTGTGATCAGCTGTGTCATTGGATACAGTTGATCACGTGGTAAAAGCCTGCTGTGATTGGCCTTTTACCTTATCACGTGATCAGCTGTATCCGTAGGACACAGAGATCACGGGCAGCGCAGGGTGTGTGCCACTGGGTTCGCGTTGTGGGACGCCCTCCCAGAACTAGACAACCACGCCATATTTTATTATCTATTTGATTGTGACATTTTATTAATGTATTTATTTCACTATAAATTCCTTTACTTGCATATATGATTGCTATATTTATCCTTTTAGCTATATTATTACATATTTTAATATTCATACACGATACTGTTGATACTTTCAATGGATATCAGAGTTTTATTTTTAGTTGTCTATAAGTCACTGCGTGAGTTCATTTTATACATCCACATTATATGCTTGATGCAAATCGATTTTTATCTAATTATCTCATAATGATTTGATGTGTTGCTTATTTTTATTACAGGATATGTTTATTCTATGTACTATCAGGTTTACATGTGAATGGCTGCATTATTTATTACCAGCAGTTTTTTTTCTATATAAATTTATAATGGTGGTTACGCATATTGCATAATTTTGCTGTAACATCATGCATTATATACCATAGCATTATTACTAATGTGTTCACTTCTACCCTCCTGGCACTTGTAGTCCTCCTGACTTTCTGCTGATTATCCAACTTTTCTTGAGAATAATCACTATTTAGCAGTTGTGTTAAGCTATCATTACCTAATAGTAATTCATGACTCTTTACCCGCTTTTCATTGAGTTAAATATTGGTATTTACCCCCCCTGGCGGTATTCCCGAGTGTAGCTCGGGGTAAAGTTTCAGTACCAAAAGCGGTAACCCCGAGCTAAAAAATGATTATTACATAGTAAAATATTGCTGTTTCAAACCATTTCACATACATTTTGTCCCGAGTGCTTTGTCCGGCGCCCTGCCTGCATTTTTACTGTTCTTTCTGCCTGGAAACTGAGAAACGTCCATGGCGTCCAAAAAGCGTCCCTTTAGGTCAGACGCGGTTTTAGACCGGCTAGAGAACAGCGATAGTAAATCAGAACCACTTGCAGAATTGAGTGATAATGATTCGTGGGGGAAATTCATCATCAGACACTGAAAACGATTCTGCGACTGAGCTCAGCGATGTGTGAACTTGGCGCTATATTTCACATTTCAGTGTTTTTGGTTTGATTATATTATTGAATTACATTTATTATTATTATATTATTATTTTTTATGATTATTTATTAAATTATAATTTATGATTTCGTGTTTCAAGTTTTATCATACCCGGGATGTTTACTAGACTCTTGTTCAGACAGATTTCAGTGAGTTATTCCTAAAAATTACAGGCCTACAATAAAAAAAAATACATATTTCCATGCAAAAAAATGTACCGCTTTCAGCACCAAAAATCTGAAATAATCATACCGCCAGGGAGGTTAATTGCCTGGATCGAATATTAACATGAAGACCTCCACCTTCTCCTGTCTCCCCTTGAATGGCATGGTTCCTATGCTTTCTATGGCATGTATGGTCCAGGGGCGGACTGACAACTCATGGGGCCCCCGGGCAATAGGGGATCATGGGGCCCCTGTGTCCTTGCCCAAACTCAAAAAAGCCTATGAAAAAGGTACCAGGGGCATCTCATGGGGCCCCCTACTGACCCCGGGCCCTCGGGCAGTGCCCAAGTTTCCAAATGGTCAGTCCACCCCTGGTATGGTCTACAGTAAAATGACCGCCGCTCGAGCGTACTGGGCATGTGCAAGCGGTGGCGACAGACGGTACTGTACATGTGCGAACTTCCATATAAAAGAAGTGTCATGAGGAGAGGCAGGCTGCCTTTGAAAAAGTGCTTGTGGACGAAACATGCCAGGGAGCCTGCCTCATTGACACAGTATGCTTGGTACACTTTCTTATGGACACCAGACTACCAGATTGTTACTATTTGGACATCATTTATCCATCGTGAGTTTATTTCATCTTTTCATTTTAACCTTGAATACATTAAAAGTTACTACACTATGGGAAGTCTTTTTGTTTTGGCTCACTTCTGGGGAGTCTTTTCCACAAGGATACCCATTGTGACCTGACTGCAGTTACTAGTGTGATTCCCCTGGTGGCTAATCCATCCTCGTTGCCGAATACTACCTGATGGTGGGCTGTCTGCCCCCCTGATGCCCAACAGATGACCTGATGTCTTAAGTAACCCGATGCTGATGACCAGGAGTTGGTCCTTAACTTGTTGCCGACCGCAGATAGCCGAATGACGGCTGCACTGCGGCTGGCCAGTTCTGAGTGGACGTCATATGACGTCCCCCCAGAACGCGCTCTCCTGCGCACCCCAGGGGGCGCGCACCCGGCGATCTCCGTGATCGCTGTGTCCTACGGACACAGCTGATCACGTGATGTGGTAAAAGGCCAATCACAGCGGCCTTTTACCACCTGATCAGCGGTGTCCAATGACACGCTGATCACAGGGAAATGCAAGTGCCGGTTCTCGGCTGCACTTTCCTCACGCTGTCAGATCATGAGGAAAGTACTGCCGAGAACCGGCAGTTGTCAGAGCGGGGATCGGCACCGATCATCAGGGCACTGATGATCAGTGCCCTGATGATCGGTGCCCAGCAGTGCCACCCGCAAGTTCCGCCCACCTGTGCCCAGCAGTGCGCCCACTAGCTCCGCCCACCTGTGCCCAGCAGATCACCCACCTGTGCCCAGCAGTGCACCCACCTGTGCCACTCTGCAATGTCACACACCTGTGCCCAACAGTGCCACCCACCTGTGCCCAGCAGTGCCACCCACCTGTGCCCACCCACCTGTGCCCACCAGTGCCACCCACCTGTGCCCACCAGTGCCACCCACCTGTGCCCACCCACCAGTGCTGACCACCAGTGCCACCCACCAGTGCAGCCCAGCAGTGCTGCCAGTCAGTGCCACCAGTCAGTTCCCAGCGGTTGTGCCAGTCAGTGCCGCCAGTCAGTGCCCAGCAGTGATGCCAGTCAGTGCCGTCTATCAGTACCCATCATCAGTGTCACCTATCCGTGACACCTCATTAGTGCTGTCTATCAGTGCCGCCTATCCGTGCCACCTCATTAGTACTGCCTATCAGTGCCCTTTAGTGCTGCCTATCAGTGTCCATCAGTGCCGCCTATTGGTGCCCATCAGTGCCGTCTCATCAACGCACATCAGTGAAGGAGAAAAATTACCTGTTTGAAAAATTTTATAATAGAAACAAAGAAACTTTTTTTTTTTTTTCAAATTTTTGGCAATTTTTTATTTATAGCGCAAAAAGTAAAGCGCCCAGTGGCGATTAAATACCACCAAAAGAAAGCTCTATTTGTGAGAAAAAAATGATCAAAATTTCATATGGGTACAATGTTGCATGACCGCGCAATTGTCAATCAAAGTGCGGCAGTGCTGAAAGCTGAAAATTGGCCATGTAAATAAGGGGGTATAAGTGCCCGGTAGGCAAGTGGTTAATACTCAAATGCGCATTCATTTGCGCTCTCTGGTGAGTGCAATCTACGGCCATTTATTTTATCTTTCACCATCATGGATCTACACTAATCAGAGACTAATCACATGTGCACCTGGAAACGCCAATTGGGGACGTTCTTATCACATCTATACTTCATCATATGTTTATAGTGCGTATATTTGCACTTCACCATACGCCATAGTGTGTGTATTGATTTCTGGCCCCTTAAACTTTTGCGGATATTATATCTTGTCATCTATTTATGTCACTATAATAGATAAGGTCATTGAACTTGGTCACTTTCATAGTTTTTAATTTTGTTATATTGGTATCATATAATTTATATTTACGATTTTATGTGTTTTATCATACTTTTAGCGCTGCATGATTTTTATTTTATTATTGATAAGGGTATCATTATCCCTGTGGTGTATGTTGGTTTTGTGCTGCCCTAGGCAAGACTAAAATCACACCCACACCATCTAAATTTATCCCACCCCTTCCTGTTTAAGATCCACCCCTTCATCTGTAAACTCCACCCCTTCCAGTTTAGGCTCTACCTCTTCCTATTAGAGCTCCACCTCAGGAGTTGGTAAGAGACTGTGGACAGGATACAGGAGAATGTCAGAGACTGCAGACAGGATACAGGAGAATGTCAGAGACTGTGGACAGGATAAAGGAGACGGTCAGAGACTGCGGACAGGATACAGGAGACGGTCAGAGACTGCGGACAGGGTAAAGGAGACGGTGAGAGACTGCAGACAGGATACAGGAGACGGTCAGAGACTGCGGACAGTATACAGGAGACGGTCAAGGACTGCGGACAGGATACAGGAGACGGTCAGAGAGTGCGGACAGGATACCGGAGACGGTCAAAGACTGCGGACAGGAGATGGTCAGAGACTTCAGACAGGATACAGGAGACTGTCAGAGACTGCGGACAGGATACAGGAGACGGTCAAAGACTGTGGACAGGAGAAGGTCAGAGACTGTGGACAGGATACAGGAGACGGTCAGAGACTGAGGACAGTATACAGGAGACGGTCAGAGACTGAGGATGGGATACAGGAGAAGATCAGTGACTGCGGACAGGATACAGGAGACGGTCAGAGAGTGCGGACAGGATACAGGAGACGGTCAGAGAGTGCTGACAGGATACAGGAGAAGGTCAGAGACAGTGCACAGGATACAGGAGATGATCAGAGACTGTGGACAGGATACAGGAGATGGTCAGAGACTGTGGACAGGATACAGGAGATGGTCAGAGACTGTGGACAGGATACAGGAGATGGTCAGAGACTGAGGACGGGATACAGGAGAAGGTCAGTGACTGCGGACAGGATACAGGAGACGGTCAGAGACTGAGGACAGGATACAGGAGAAGGTCAGAGACTGCAGACAGATACAGGAGACAGTCAGGGACTGCGGACATGATACAGGAGATGGTCAGAGACTGTGTAGAGGATACAGGAGAAGGTCAGAGACTGCAGATGGGATACAGGAGATGATCAGAGTCTGCTGACATGCTACAGAAGACGGTCATAGACTGCGGACCAGCCGGAGAGCCTGGTCTAGACCAAGCACTATGGATGACTGGTTTGCCTACACACATTAGATGAGTGCTGTACAACCTTGAAGCCACTCAAAGGGTTAACAAGACTCATCCCAGTGCTGGCACCGTGTCTGTTAATCCACAATATAAATACAATGAGGTCATTTCACATTTGCCAAAATGTTCTGGTCTACATCGCGCTTTCACCAATATAGTTACCCGTCCAGCACCTCGGAGAAGACTCACATACCGCACCTCCTAGTAAAAGGAGTAGAACCCATAGATCTTCATAGACATCGTGCCCTTTATTGGGCATGGTTGCTGTAGCAAACTTGCACATCAGAGATGGATGCAGATTCCCCCTTTTATTAAATGTATTCATTTATTCTTTATTCTCCTTCCCCCTCCCTTTCTGAGAGGCACAGTGACAGATGTGTGTGTGTTAAAAGTGTCACAGGCCAGATCCCAGCAGGGAGCCACGTGGTGCCACTCTGCCAGAGAACGTGTAATTTCTCACCTTGTAACCAAGATAAGGCAGCTTTTCCCAGGAATTGAAAGATATTGTAACTTCATAAAACCTAGCAGTGTAGGTGACAGAATTAAATGAACATTCCTCAAGTCAGTTTTTCCCCTATGTTTCATATCTTGAAATATGGAAGACTTGCATAAAAACCGGGCACCTCATCAGATGGCCAACGCGCAGACGGATGTTCTGATAGGTCTCTCCATTCGTTTCACACGCTCAGGGAAGCAGAAACATAGATCTCGTGAACCGTGCGGCCTACAATCTCATAATTCATATCTACATGATCCTTAGACTTATTCGCATAATAAAATACCCACGGAGAGATTGTCGCTTGTGCAGCTGGAAAGTTATAGGCCAAAATATGGATTATGAAAGATGGTTTAAATTCAGAGTTCCGCCCGACGATCCCTCCCTAAACAGAGTATTGGTCAGTTACTCAGAGCCACCCCCCTGCTGGGGGACTTTAAAAACACAGGCTATCAGGCCTAATAAATAATATAAATGATGAAGCGCTCAACTTATATCCTTCAAAATTATAATCAATATAGTGCAAAAACCCTCATGTAAATTATACACCCCCTAGTGGTAAATAGTGATATTCAACAGAATAACAAAATGACAATTGAACTGTGCAAAGTGACAAATATTAAACAAAGTAAAATGCAAGATAAATCCAAAAAATTATTATTAGTGATGCCACACTGTGTAAAATAATAAAAGTGTTCAATACACTGTGGTAATGATTTCACTCCATGCTGCCATTGTGCTCTTCATGACTCTTGAAGTGACTCCCCTTATAAATGGCCAAAATGCCCCCTCACCTTCAATATTCGACCCTTGCGGGTCACAAGGCTTTATATATATATATATATCTCTGCCAGGATATTGATACTCCACTGCCTCCACCGACTTACATCAAGATCCTCCTCCAAGTTATGGGTTCCTCTCAAAATACCTTCCCTCACACAAAGGGCGCATATGCAAGAGAAGAGCAGACCTCCATAGTGCAACACTGTTTTAATGCACACAAGGTAAAGTAACAAGAAACGCACTCACATGTACTCCAACAAAGAGAAGCAGTTCCCATGTGCTATGGGTATACTCAGGTGTACCAAGATGGCGTCCGAACCCGGAACCGGAAGTACGTCACCCCTATGACCGGAAATACGTCGACGCGTTGCGCCACGATCACATGGCTTCTTCAGGATGCCGCATTGGATGACAGGACTCCCTTTTAAGCTATTGGCATAATTTTTCAAGGGGCGTGTACAACCTCCATTTTCTTGGAGCCCGATCTACACAGGACAGCTGTATGCCGCCGCTACTCCCCCTGGTTCTCCCATTATACCTTCTCTGCTTAAAGTGATTACATTTACTTCTCAAACCTAAAAACCTTTATTACAACAATCGGTTTAGATAAAATATCAAAATCTTATTTAATTATATACTATATATAGATAAAAAAATGAAAAAAGGGGGAAAAATCGAATTAATAAATGGATAAATATATATATATGTAACTAGGGAATTTAATAGATGTATATATATTACACATCCACCAAAATTAGCTCCGCTATATAAATTTATTAAAGCTACCCCATTCCATAAAATTCTTAATTATTAAAAATAATAAATGAATGACAATTATATTAAAACATATTGATTATAAAATATAAAGATTTGAAGAAATATTAATTAAAATTAATCGAATAAATTTTAGAAACCTATTTCAATAAAACTCCTGTATAATACCCATACCACATGTTTACATAAATGAATCATTATACGCCACAAATTTATACATGAAACATAAATAAAACCAAGCAGTATTAAAAAACATTAAAAATCATTAATGAAACAATTAAGGTCAAATTCAATATTTAAACCTCTAGGTGTCAGCGTTTGCATAAGGAAAATCCATTTTGACTCTGCCTGACTTATTGTTTTCACCTTGTGGCTCCCTCTCCAATGCTTTTTGTATTGTTCCACCCCCCAGAACCTCAATCCCGAGGGGTCATTCCCATGATGACTGGCGAAATGTTTGGAGACGTTGTGTTTTGGGTTGCCCTTTTGTATGTTTTTCACATGTTCTCTCAATCTAACCCACAAGGCTCTTTTAGTGCGTCCCACATACTGCAGACCACAGCTGCACTCCAAAACATAGACAACCCCTTCAGTTTTACACGTAATAAAATCTTTGATTTCAAATGACCTCCCATTGCTTTTAGAAATAAATGCATTCCTTTTTTGATTCTGCCCTTTTGTAGCTTTACAGACACTGCATTTTTTACAGGGAAAAAAGCCGGTAACACTAAACAGGGTATTTTCTCTATTCACCCTCGGTGGATCCAATACATTCCTCACTATTTTATTCCTCAACGTAGGAGCTTTTCTGTAAATAAATTTGGGCTGTTCTGGCAATAAATTACCTAATAGGGGGTCCATCTTTAA